GCTGCAGCAAAACCATCACTAGGTCTAATTCACAACTTCTGCTTTAAAACTAGAATAGCTCCACTTGATTCAGCCAAGTCAAGTTGCTGTAAAAGAGATGAACAAGCCCATAAATTCACATTTCATTATTCTACACATATAACGTAAAAATACTAAAAATTAAATGTAAGTCCCATCACCCAAAGACCCAGTAAAGACAGAAGGTAAGTTAAAAAACAGGAAAAGAGACATGACATTCATCCCTTGTGAAATAGCTGAGGTACCTCATATGAGCAGAACACACGTTGTGCTACTCGGACTTAGCAATACAGTTCTCTAGCTGTTCAAGTTAACTTGTTCCTTAGAAGATACAATAAGAATACAGAATGAATAGATGTTGCAAATAATTTAACTGATTAGTGGTGACAAGCTCTGTAGACAAACTTGATAAGCACTGACACTGATCAGTCTGTTGATTTGTTTTATTTTTCAATAGCCACTGACTCAGGAACCATAATGCTAATATAAACTTTTGTATATGCTTGGTGTAATATCGGACTCCAATAAAGCACAAGCATAAGGTGCAGGGGGAGTCAGCATCAGCAGCTAAGTCACAGGTGGAAAACAGAATGTACCTCTTTAGTGATTTATCATGTTCTCATCAGGTGTAATTGGCAGTGGAACATTGCGGCCCCAGAGAGCAGTGGTGAGGGAAATGTGGACTGGAAGTGGCAGAGACATATGAGCATGATGGAGACCCTGGAACAGCTAGGTCTGATAAAAGACAGAGCCAAACAGCCCCAGCAGAGCATTGTGTTGAAGCCACTGTTCTGCTCACAGGCCTCCTGCCAGTATACCCACAGGGTGCTGCCCTGTGTCATGTAAACATGTCTTCTGGGTATCCGTGGCACGATGCTGAATTGAGCCACACAGACAAATACAGTGTGTCATCAAAAGCTATGAACATTTTGAGGCAGCTAGGTTGCTGGTTTTCTGAAGTTCTACTGGATGCTGAGAATACTTCTGCTGCTCCTTGAGTTTAAATAAGGTGAACCTGACTATGCAAAACAAGTCAATGGCTTTGCTTGTGTCTCCCAGACTCAGATCAGAAGTGATTCTTCCTAAGTCAAGGGAAGCTTCCTTCACTGCAGCTCTCTGAGCAGTTAAACACATATGTGGCCAAACTCAGTCCTTGTAAAACCCAATTGACTTCATTCAAAAAACTCCTATAAAGATGACTGATGTCATTGGAGTCCCACCAGGGATGAATTTGGCCCATGCCATTCCTCCTGTGTAGTCACTGGATAGGAATGTAGAGAAGAAAAGCATACTGGACTCTAGGACTCCATCTCTCAGCAAAACTGCCAGGGCTGGAAAAGAATTACACGTGAATATAAATTTGTCTTGCACACTCCATTAGATCTCCCAGATCAGCCCCTGCTTTCAGCTGCCCAGGTACGAATTAGAGTTTCTCCTTTCACTACTGAGAGTTGAGCAGAAGTTTCTACATCAGTGTACCTGGTCTTTTGGGAGCAAAATCAGCAGAATTACCCCCAATTTACAGATGAAGAAACCAGAACAGGGAGCTGAAGTGATTTGCTTCAGATCACATGTGGTGACAGAGATAGAGAAGGTATTGAAACTTAAGTACTTACGGCTCCTCACCACTCAGGCCATGTATTCCTGTGATATATCTTTTTAATTTCCCCCTCCTTTACCCATCTCCCTTTTCCCCTGCCCCTAAACCCATCCATATTGTCTGTAGCCACACAACTGGGAAGCTGGGATTAATCCATCCCTCGGGAAACTGGGATTAATATACAACTCATACAAAACTTTTAAAAACCTAATGATTTGTGGTCCCCTTTTCAGAGGCACATGCAATCCACAGCTGAAAAGTAACTATTTGCTGTTCCAGTGCACATTCTCAGAGACGCTTTTGCTCTGTTTCATGAGTGTACACTGAAGACCCCATCTGACAGGATTTCTTCCTGCATCCAACAAAAAAATAGGCTGAGTAGGCTGTGCAGAATCAGGTTCTCGTGGAGTAGTAACAGTTTATGGGCAGAAAAAGAATGACTGGAATGCAAAAGGCAGGAAAGAGAGAGAGATGTGCCAACACATCTTTACATTTTCCTTCTGAACTGGAAATGGTTAAAAAGAATAATTAAAAAAATAATTTAAAAAAAATCTGCATTTCCCTCATAAATCTTGCAGGAAGAGGCAACTAGAGTCAGGTGTCCAGTTTTTGACTCTTGCAAGTTCCCATTCAGTAATGTTTTTATGATGAAAATGCAAAATTTAAAGCAACTGTGAAAACAGAATCAGTTCTCAGTTGGCAGACAGAGGCATAAGTAAGTTTTATTCACTGTACAAATGTCAGATTAAAACACATGCAAAGATAGAAAAGAACGAAAAAAAAAAAGAAAGGGAAGGTAATTAATCATTTAAATTATTTGTGATCCTGATTCAAAAGGCACATTTCCCATCTAATTCCTTTCATTTATTTTGGGGGTTAGTACGAGTTATCTCTTTTGACTGTCATGATTTCATCTCTACTTTGCTTTCCTTGGAATCCCTGGATTGATACTGCCTAGCAAATTTCAAAACAGTGGAGAGAACAGGCGAACTGTTCCCCAGTGCAGCTGAGAGCGTGACCAGATAGATAGCCTTTGTTTGCACCAGAGCGAAAGTGGCCTTCTGGGAGGAGGAAATACACACACGTATTAGTGTAGTACAAATGGCATTAAGAGGTTGTGTGTGCATCCTGTGCTCCGTATGCCCACGTAGTTTTAATACATCTGTATTTCCAATTATGTAAATTCTGGTGCTTTTTTTTTCTTTTTAACTGCACATAAAAATGCAGGTCCAAAGAAATTCTTTGCAGTCAGATCGCCAGGTTTCAGCCTTACAAATAAAATGCTTCTCATGTCCAGCTGGGAAAAGTGGTTTGTCCACCCTCGCGACCTCGCAGTTATAAAGGTTCCCAGGAACCAGTAACTGACACGGTTTCTTACCTCGCCACGGGTGTTTCAGTTTTTCGATGTTAAGGAGACGGTGGAGCGACCGTGGGAAAGCCTCGGTGGAGTGACTCTCCCGGAGTCCCTTCCTCCCTCCCCGTGGACCCGACTCGGATTTCTGCCTCGTAGTTACGACCTCTGAAAACCTACTAATTCCAAGCGATAGAGCTTTCTCTCTCCGCGACAGAACCTCGGAAGCATCCCCGTTCCTTTATTTGGTGCCAGGAGCGACACAAGAGGGACGAGGAAATTCATCGAGGATATTCCCTCTGAATCTCCCTTTAGAAGTGCATCGTGGAGCATGAACCATCCAGCCCTTGGGCTGCCCGATAACGCCGTGTCAGTGATCGGGTCTGCGGGTCCCCTTCGGCGAGGGGCGGGATGCGGGATGCGGTGCCCCTGGCCCGGTAGCGGGGCACGCCGGGGGCAGCCGAGGGTCTCCCTCCCGCCGCGGGCCGGGGGCGTTCGGCGTGTTCCACGGAGGGCAAGGCGACGCCTCTAAACCCCCCAGTGGAGGAGCGGGGAGGTGAGGAGGACGACACCTTCAAATCTCCTCCGAGAAACGCTGCCGAGCAAGCGCATCCCGGCCCTGGTGGGCCGCGCGGAGCTAGCGCCGCGAAGGGATGCTCCTCGTTCCAGGGGGGCTCCCTGCAGGAGGCGCCGGCGGAGCGGCGCGCAGGACTCCGCGTCCTCCTGCGCTATTCCCGCGCTGGGCCAGGCCGTTCTACCTGCAGATTATTGCGGACTTCACCCTGCACTCCTCGCTTGTTGCTTTTCAGATGCCTTTTTTCAGATGCAAAACCAAACGCATTCTCGCGGTTTGGGAAGTGAGTGGCGGGGTGGGAAGCAAAGCCAAAGCAAGCCGGCTTCAAACGCTGCCCATACTCCCAGCCTCCGGAGCTGGATGTGGGTACAGGCAGAACCTCGTATCCCGCGCTCCCCGAGGGCCTTTCCACGTTAGAGGTGGGTCTGCAGCCCGTCCTGCAAGTGCCTCTACGTTAGTTACGATGCGCTTGAATGAGTGTCCAACAAATAAGAGGGGAGAGAAGTTTCTCCCCTCCCTCCCCTTACATTAAATGAATTACAATTGCAACTTTTTCTCCTGTCGTTGATAGAATTCTTTGACCAAATAAAGAAAGAATTTCTAAAAGCGGCAAGGGGAAAAGGGGAAAAGACCCGCACTGGACCGAGCTGCTGGCGGCAGAACATTCGCGCCCCGGCCACACAGGAGCAGCCAGGCAGCTCCGGCGTCACTCTGGCCTCGTCGCCGCCCTAATTTGCGAATTTTGTAAAGAAGGAGGCTTTCTTATCGCGGGGAGGCACTGACTTGAGGCAGGAGGAAAAAGGTTTAGGGTTTGCCGAGGGGACGAGAAAGGACGGCAAGAGGCGCTTCAAAGGCTCAGGCGGATCCCCCAACACTGAGCACTCTTTCCCTCGTCTCGATCCAAAGAGGTTTCGCAGTGGAATAAACATCTCTGATCTAAGACAGCTGCCGGGAATCAAAGGCCGCCCCAGTCAGCGCTGAACCGGCTGAAGATGTGACTGAAAAATGCCCGCTCCTGACAAGCGCCGGGAAGGGGGTGCGAAGGCGGCTCTCCCCTCAGCGCCTCCAGACTCTGAGAGCAGCACCAGTTCACCCATTACTCATCTGATTTGTTTTATAACACTTCTGACACCTAATCTTATCAGCTAATACCCAAGATTTAGTTACCCAAGACGATTTTTTTTTCCTCACTAGGAGCAAAATTATTTGACTCTCTGCAGATCTGTTTACTTTTGTCAGCCTAAAAAAAAAAAAAAAAGGAAAAGAAAAGAAAATTAGGAGGGGTAAAGCTAATGCATAAAGAAAAGATCCAGACTTTCCAAGACTGGCAGAAACAAGTACTGAAACTTAACTAAAAAAAAAAAAAATGAAAAAGAAATAGGTTCTTAATATTGAAGGAGAGGGTTTGCCACAGAAGAGACCAGAAACCAAATGAACACATATGTAGTCCATGAAGATTTGCCTGTAAAATAACAATTTATTTTAATACTTAAAAACCACACACAATCCAGTGATAAATGTCAATTACCAATAATCAGCATAAAGTGCCAAACAGCCATACAACTTTTTTTTTCTTTAATAAACAAAACTTATTGGAATGTCTCTTAATTTGAATACACTGTTCAGAAAGCCAGCATTTAAAAAAATATGCTCTCAAGTTGAGATTTGTTCTCTCACACCAGGACACACGAAGACTTTAAAGTACCACTAAAACCACGTTGTGCATACCGTCAGTCTGATGTACTGCCATCTTTCCTTCTTTCTTCTGTTTTTTTTTTTTTAAATAAGTCCACAAGTTACAAACTTCCTCACAGCGCACTAGACCACAAAGTAATTGAAAAGGTCTCCATATCCCATCAACATTGATCTGTCACGAACACCAGGGACCTGTGGGTCTGCATTTTCTACTGCACGATAGGATTCCCCACTTGAGAGAATTAGGTCATTTCCAAACATTAATCTTCCTTCTTTTCTGAAAACAAACCAGCAAAAGAGATTTGCAAGTTGCCCTTCTCCTTGTCCTAATGGTGCTGTGACGAGAAACCACCATTTCAGTTCTTAATTTTCTTCTGGAATTCTCTGTATTTCCTGAAGTGTAAAAATAAGAAGCTTTATACAGTCAAAAAAAAAGTATAAAATAAGAGGTTGGATTTTTTTAAGTAATACTTTTGGAAGCTATGATTTTGGGGTTTTTTTGGGGGAGGGGGATTAGGAAGAGGTGTCTTGTGGGGTTTCGTTTGGCTTGAGAGAGATTCCTGTCCAACACATGAGCACCACCTTTTGGCATAAAGTTTATCAAAGCCACATAAGTCAGCTAGCACTCTCTGTATCATTCATGTATATTTTAAATTCAAAATAATCTTTTTACCCACGACTTAGGAAGTTAATTGCTTGGATGGGGGATTGCAGGGGTGCGGATTTTGCCCTTTTTAAAGTACAAACAACAACAAAGCACAAAGTCCAGTGCTTCCATCCTGAAAGTTTTGTTTCTGCTCTGGTTTTGGTGTAAAGTCTGAAGGGGAAGAAAAGTTCATAGAAGTTGGATATTCAACACTTAAGTTTGGCAGGTTTCAGTTCCTTTACTTGCGTGTGCAGTGTCTTGTGGACCGCTAGTGTTCTGGACTGGCAAAATCCTTTCCCACATTCTTGACACTTAAAAGGCTTTTCTTTAGAATGGATATATCTAGAGAGAGAAAAACAATTGAGACATCAGAAATAGCCGGCCACACTCAGCAATGAGTTACCCAAGGAAGAACATGCTGGAGATGTTTTACACCTACTGCTGAGACAGAGAGTGTTGGCGTGCCACGCTTGGGTAATTGTCTGTCTGTGTGTATGCAAGAGGAGAGGAGGGTGTCAGAGGCTTATAGGGCACCTTTCTTAGGGATAAAAAGTTTCTCTCTTACTTTGGGATCCTCAGGCTGTATGTCTTCCTGACACTTCTGGATGAACCCAAAGGCAGAGGACACAAGATGCAAATGGAGCATGAAAACCTCTGTGGAAGCTAAGAAGGAGGTTGTGAGAGTTGGTTTTGTGGAGTGAGTGAGGTATGTCTTCCAAAGTGAGTTACCTAAGCTCCTCCACCAGCAGTGGGCAGAGGAAAACTTAGAGGGAACACTGTAGTATGTAGATGGGTAACTGGGAGAGTACAAACACACAAGGAAAAAAGGAAAGGAGAAATAAAATAGTTACCTGTGATCCCTCAGGTGATCCTGTCTTCGGAAGGCCTTGTGACAAATGTCACATGTGTAGGGTCGTTCATCTGTGTGGGTTCTTTCATGGATCAAAAGGTTGTAGGACTTGGTGAAGTGTCTGCCACAGAATTTACACACAAACTCCTTCTTGGTTTTGGACGGTAACCTTCCCCGCGTGGGTTTCTTCTCTGGAGAGAGTTTAGTCACCTCAAGCAAAGACCCCAGCCCTGCAGGTGAGCCCTGACTGTCTGCCTGTCCCAGTTTAGAGTGGTCCTCTTGTGTGGCAGCCACTGCTAAGTTGGCAAAGTCAAAGCGGGGTTTGGCTTTGAGGGTCACATTGGTAGCCTCTTGCTTGGGCTGGATGACATGTGGAAAGAGTGGGAAGGTTGGCAGCTGGAATCGTGCATCCACCAGGCTTGAGACACTGGGCACTTTGGAGAAGGAGGAGCGGGGCAGGTGCATGGCTGGGTACCCCAGAGTCCACTGGTGCAGGTGCACAGCGTGCAGGGCACTGAAGCCGTAGAGGTTGGAGAGGTGGTCGGAGGGCACAGCGGGCAGCCCATTGAATGCTTGCAGGAAGGAGTAGTTGGTAAGCTGGAGGGAAGGATGGATAGGCACGGGGGCTGGAAGGGTTTTACTTCCCATGGTGACCGCTCAGGAGGAGGATCTTGGGAACAGGGGAGGAAAATATCTGCAAAATAAAGAAGGAAGGGGGAAGAGGGAAAGGTAGATTTATATGAAGATAAATGCAGAGGAAATTTCTGACTTACTCTTCATTAACATCCTTTTCCAAAGTCACAGGAGGGGGCTGCCTGGGACTTACAGAGGCCTGACCAGCTCTTGGCTACAAGCGTATCCCCAAGTTCTCTCTCTCCCAATCTCTCTCTCATGCACAAAAGTTGTACTCCGTCCACAATCATTCACCCCTCAACAGCATCCCTTGCTATGCAGACTCCAATGATCCTCTGCATGGGACCACCAAGAGATGCCATTTTGGCCCACAAAGCCTGGGCTTCACCCATGTGATTTAAAATCTCTTCCTGGGTCACCTCAGCCTTTAGAAAATAGTGGGATACTGCCCACTATGTCTCTCCACAAAAACTGCCTTTAACCCTGACTCTTGAGGTGATGTTGGGAGGGGGTGCAGAGTTTGCTGCCCCTGGGTTGTTTGGCTCCTTGCAGTCTGGCCTCAGCCAAGCCTCTGAGGCAATGGAGGCAATTGGGTGCTTGGAACTGCATATCTTTCTTCATTCAAAAAAAGAAAATAATTTTAGGGAAAAAAACATTATGGGGAAAATACCAGCCAACAACATTCCCTCTTGTGTACTGCAAAAAGAAATGGGAAAATGCTGAGTTTGGGTGATGGATCTGAAGTGCCATTTGCTCTCCCCAGGGGAAGTGCTTGGCTTCAAGCCCACATCCTAATCTAGGCAATCGCTTAATTAGAAGCCTTCAAAAGGCAAAAAGGTAAGGGCTCCAGAGACCCTTCCCATGGGACATCCAGCCCAGCAGCTGCAGGGCCACAACCCTTTCACTGGGCTGGGTGCCACCCCTTTGCTCTGTGTTTCAGGGTCCTGCCAAGACCCCAACCTCTCCTCTGGGCCAGATCTCTACCCATCCCACCCCATAAGGCAGAGGGGAAAATGCTACAAGGCAGCAGCAGCGAGTCATATCTGGCCCTGCCTGAAAATTCAGCCCCTGCTGCTGTCAACTGTTTGGTAGTAGATGCCTCCTGAGGGTTATTGGTGGGGATGTAGCTTCCTCTCTTTGAGGCTGAGAGAGAGCACCCATGGCTTTTGGAGACATCCCTTCTCTGCAGCCCAGGGAGCCTCCTCCTCACTCCACAGCCCTCAGGTTATACTCACTTTGTGCCCTGAGGAACTCTGGAATTTGCCTTCAATGGGGCTGTTTTCTGGCAGAATCCCCATGAAGTCCCCACAGGATGTTCACAAGATCCTCACAGGTTTGCTGCAGGATTTCTGCAGGATCCACATAGGGTCTTCCTAAGAACCCTATAGGCTTCCTGCTGAGTCACCGTAGGTTCCCCGCAAGATCCTGTCGGGGTCCGCACAGTACTCAGACTACAGTTCATGCCCATGTGAAGAGTAATACCCCTTTGGAGAAATGGAGCCAGCAAAGTACTGCAGAGCAGCAATTGTCCCTCTGGGCTAGAAGTGGGGGGGGTGGGGAGTGGAAAGTGGTGGTGGAAGAGGTCTAAAGAGCAGGGAAACAAATCTGATTTATATGTAGGCTATTGCCTGGACAGAGGAGCTGGGGTTGGGAGGGTGTGAGACGAGAAGCTTACTCTGAACAGCTCTGTACTCTGGGTCCACCTTTCACACTGCTTTACATAAATCAGCAGCAGGAAAAGAGGTTCAAACCTTAGAGGAATTCCATTGCAATGACCCAGAATAAGAGATTTTGTCATTTTTCCTTTTTCAATTGGATGCATTTTGGATAGTGACTGATTGAAAAATACATACATTATATTCTCAATTCTCCTTTTTCTCTTTCTTTTTCCTTTTTTTTTTTTTAATAAACGATTTAAGTCTGATGAACCAACCAGACTGTTTTGTTTTTCTACAGGAGATATACTTCTACTTAGTTAGTGCTGCCTATGTGCTAAGTGTGTCCACATCACAGCACAAATGCCTCAGTCAATGACCCCAAGAACAAAGTGCACAGAAAACTCTCTTGTCTGGGTACCTGAAAATGTCTGTTTCTGTCCATCACAGCGGCTCCGTGTCTATTTTCCTATCTAGGTAGCTCTAGATCTCAAGCATGAAATAGGCTATTGCGAATGAAGTAAAGTTCTGGGTTTATAATTCTTTCTTTCTTCATATCCTGAGAAATTATTTAATATAGGATGTATAAGCATATAAGCAAAAAATCTGCTATGTCAATGTGGGCAAATTCTTGATCAATAACATTTTAAAAATTCTCTTTCAATCAATTCCCCAAACGAAGAGTGGGGCACAAATCAAGGAGAAATACAATTGGTCATAATAACATCCATTGCACTCACGGAATTTTTTTGTTTGCTACCTTTTTTTTGTTGTTTTTTTTTGCTAGAGAAGTTCTGTTAAATCAAGAGGGAAAAAAAAAGATGAAAAATAAAAAGAAAGAGAACAAGGCAAAAAAATAAAAAAGAGAGAAGAAAAGAAAAAGGAAAGGATGAGGTGGGAGCAGAATTTTCACGTTACTACAAGTTTCTTGGCACTTTTCCAGAAATGTAAACTACACTTCTGCGCTGTACGACCGGGATAGTCAAAAATACAGATGAAGAGCAGGGTATTTTATAAAGAAGCCCCCTCACTCCGGGACATCAAAGCAAACGTGTTTCACAGCACAGTAACTCTCTGGTCTCCCGCTTGCCCGCAGAGAGATCGATGTTTCTTTGATTTCGGTGTCACCTCCACCTTTAATTCTGCTTCATGTAAACAGATCGTTATCAGGTCTTTTTTTTTTTTTTAAAAAAAAAAAAAGCAGAAAAAGACCCCGAGAGCTCTCTATTTGAATTCTCCTATAGCAAAAAACCGTGCGGGTTTTTCTTGTTTAACACAAAGTAGTTCTGTGAGTAATTAAGAACAAATCACTTGTGTTCTGACTGAAACAAAACCCACTCATGCCAAGATAAATTTACTCTGCAAAATAGGATCATAAACTTGAAAGACTACATCTGTCTCCAGCTTTCTTACCCTTTGTCCTGTTTGAAGATACGGTAATGCTATTGTCCAGTTGCCATTGTTTTAAGACCGTTGTAATCTTAGCCTTCTAGATTAAATTCTACCTACTCTATATGCCTAAAAAAAAAAAAAAA